TATTTTCTAAACTAAAAATAATGTAAATATATTCAAAATATGTATTTAAGGCTGTATTCTGCAGAATTTTGCACCCTTTTATCCATCAGCAGAATAATTACTAAAGGTGGTTCTAAGGTGGCTGTTCCATCCGAATAGGTTAAAGCTACCTCCATTTTTTCCTTGAATTATCTTGTATCCTTGACACTAGTAAAAGGTCATAGTGGTGAGCAAAACTTTACTATGCCTCATAAGATAATGACTGGCACAGTTATGCAAAAGGAAAGCACCATCAATCAGAGTTCCCAGTTTAAAATTTAGTTCAAGCGCTTCACTTCAGTGTAGAAGGTGCAAGTTCTCACCTAGTAAACACATGCACGTTAGGTTAAATTGACATGCTAAATTAGCTGTAGGAATGTATAATGTTTTGCATGCTTGTCAGTTTCTATCTGACCCACTCAGTAGAGACTATATAGTGGGATTCTGGCCTATAAATATTAACTGGAGTGTCCAACATATCTAAAAATCAATACACAGCCACAGGGGAATTCAACTGCTAATTTAACATCAGGATCATCATTCAGCCATTCCCTTTAGACTCCTTGATCATTCTTTCTCCGTCAGGATTTGCCTCTTTTCATCCTTTAAAACAGCAGAGGAACAGCTACAGATCATACTTTAGCAGGGTACCACTGCTGAGATAAAATGCTCATCTTAACCTTTATGCACTTGTGTTACCGGTATATACAAACTAACAAAGAGGCTGACGCTACTTCTAGTCAGGTTTAACCCAAATGAGAGAGAAGGAGCTGCTCCAAGGATTAACAAATCTTTCCATAATGCAGAATTTGCCCAGTTCCATAATAAACGGTCTGTTTAACTGGAAATGTGTGTGCGAGGGCAGGACAAGGTGAGGCAGAGACTGGGAAGTCCATTCGCCTGATCAGCACGTCACTCCACATCGCGTCACTGCCACTTTGACCCACTTCCACTTGCCACTCCCTCCTCAACTCTTCCCCACCCCTCATTTCCTTCAGCTTTCTTTTTTAATATATCATTTTATTATTTCTGCTCCGACCACTTTAACTGTTCTGTGCTCTTTGAAAACTCAAGACAATTTCCAGACTGTCTGGCAGAAAACTGTCATCACTCCTACACTGCGATAAAAACCAAACAA